TTTTTTACAAATAAGACATTTATATCACAAAAGAGTCATTTTTGCACATTGAACTCCAATTATTTCGAAAATCTGACGTGTTAATGAAATTTAACTTGCCGTATCGTTTTCAGCATCCAAAAATCTATAAGAAACACCTCATCTGATTAAAAGAAACTTTTTTTGTATATCAATATCATCTTTATTCACAGTTTGTTGATGTAGTACAATTTATCGACGATTTTACCGATAGTGTCGAAAATGTGATACGTTGTTCACATCAATTTCTAAAATTGGAGTCGCTAGCGTACGGCGATTTCGCCTGTCACGCGAAAAAGTCCGCCATGTCCTCTCTCATGTTTCTCTCTGCCAGAAGTAAAGAATTGAATTGAGTCTGGAGTCTTTTAGCTTTGTGGGTTTAAAGCATTGTCAAGATCTCCAAGTTAACCTCAGAGAAGAGTTATTGAACATACGTCTTGAGACCTCTGCTCCCCGAAAAAGTTATTCATTGAATCGAAAGATCCGCTATTTTTGCATGGTACTGTGACTCTAAATTTGAGTCGGAAAACCAATCAAGGGGAAACCAAAGGAAGAAGAAGAAAGAATTGAATTATATCGGATTTCGCTATTATTGTTCGCCAAAACCCCCCTAACAAACTTGATAGTAAAATATACCTACTTACTATTGTGTGTAGTCACAAATAAAATAAGATTTAAATAAAATTATTAAAGAACATTAGAACTAAACTTGGATATCACAATTACATCACATGAAATCTAATAACTTAATATCACACAGAAAAATGTTTATAATTAGCCTTATTTTTAATCAAGTAGGTATTTTATATGGGATAAACGTGAAAGTTATATTATAAAATACAAATGTTAATTTTTGATTGTGATATTATGAATGTTCGAGATTGAGGTCGTTCCTTTCGGCAGTTTCTATCACCCGCCATTCTTGGCGCCAGCCCGATCACTAGGATGGTGGCGCTGTGGGCCCTAGTGCTCTTTTTCTCGTCTGTTGGCCCCACTCAGTCTCCCCCCTTCCACTTCCCGCGCTCTCTAAGAAGAAAGTAAGCAGCAAAAATGTAACGAACAGTCAGTTCTCCTTGTACGAGCTCTTTTGTATCAATAAAGGGAAGAGTTCGACCATAGCAAACGAGTTATCCGTCATTCAAAAAGCGAGTCATACCATTATCCCACAACATTGGTCCTTCGAGCCGGATACCTCGTAAAATTGATATACGGCAAGTCGCCATAGTCCTCATAAGGAAAGGTTTCGTTCGTGTCGCACACGGCACAATATAGCAGCGAGGTAAGTCTCCGACCTTCCTTCCATCGGTTTTCCCATTTCTAACATTGTTTCTTTTCTTGTCATTCGTCATGTCGGCGAAAGCATTAAAGGCACTCAAAGCCAAACGAACCGCAATAAAGGCGCAGTGCACGCGCGCGCGGAACGCCATAGACACCATAGATCCACAAGCAGTGGATATTGCATACGTAAAGCAGCGAAAGGAGAAATTCACCACTTACTGGTGTCAATTCAATGAATTGCAACTGCAAATTGTCGAGCTTTTGGAGCTTTCGAATGATTTGGAAAACGTCGACCAACTCAAGATCGAAGAAGAAACTGAATGTGCGAACTTCGAAGAAGGTTATTTCTGCACTGCCGGTAAGATTGACGCTCTGTTAGCCTCTTCGTGCAACCTTGCAACCGCGAGTGTGAGTGATATACAAAAAACGCATTAGAATCACGCATTTTCGAGCAGGCATCGCGCGATCAAGGTTATGTGCATGACATCAGTCAAGTTCATTTACCGAAAATTGCAATACCTAAATTCAGTGGTAATTACGAGGATTGGTATCCCTTTTACAACACGTTTGAATCTATGATTCACTTGAATCCAAAACTAACAAACATTCAGCGTTTCCACTACCTAATCTCCTCGCTCGAGGGTGATGCCGCGCACGTTATCAAGTCAATACAGATCACTTCTGATAATTACCGCGAGGCTTTAGAATTATTGAAACAACGATTCGACGACAAATCTATCATTTCCCAAGAACACATCAAGTCGTTATTCAATCTGCCTGTTGTCCCAAAAAGAGATCATGTAGCATTGAGAAAGTTAGTGGATGACGTGCTGCGTCATTTACACGCCCTGACTAGCTTGGGCAGGCCAGCTGATCAGTGGGACGACCTCATTATCCATCTAATCATTACAAAATTAGATTCAAATCTCATTAGTGACTGGAAGGATCACGTCTTGCCAGGTGAGTTGCCCACACTAAGGCAGCTCACCGATTTTCTGTCACAAAAATGCAAAACAATAGCAATCGTATCCAGCAAGATCGTCAATGACACAATGACGTCGAATTCACGTAAACCTAATAAAAGCTCTAGTTCTCATGTATCCGCCTCTACTGTCTGTTGCGCTTATTGTAAAGAAAAACATCACATTTTTCAATGTCCAAATTTCTTAAAGTTGTCATGTGAAGACAGGATCAAACAAGCCAGAGTCAGACGACTATGTCTCAACTGCCTGCGTTCCGCCTCTCATCAAGCCAAGGATTGTAGGTCGTCTACATGTCAAACGTGCAGTAAGAAGCACAACACACTGTTGCACATACAGGAGAAATCGCAGGCGGACACACAATCTACAAATCAACTTAGTCAAGCAAGCAATTCGGGCACCGTCGTTTTAGCGCATCATGTCACTCCAGATAAGTACCAACAGGTTATATTATCCACAGCAGTCGTCAATGTTTATGATCAACACGGCAATACGCATACTTGTCGAATATTACTGGATTCAGGATCTCAATCCAACTTTATTACCAATAGTCTTGCCAATGAGCTCAAGCTCGCTCGGACCCGAGCTAACATGTCTGTCACAGGGATAGATAAGTCTCAAACACACTCTAATCATACAGTTAACGTAAAATTCAAATCCGTTCATACATCATTTTCGCAAAACATTGAATGTCATGTGCTAAACAGTATCACAGGAAAACTACCTCCGGTGCACGTCAATCTCAACAATTTCAAGATACCGAGCAACATACGATTAGCTGATCCCCATTTCCACATACCGGGCTCCATAGATATGCTTATAGGCGCTGAGATGTTTTGGCAACTGTTATGCGTGGGACAAATACGCATCCACCAGAACCTACCTATACTACAAAGGACCCAGCTCGGCTGGATCGTCGATGGCAAGACATACAATGATGGTCCGGTAGGGTCCGAGGTCTGTACCTTGTCAACTAATCAACAGATCAACCAAGCAGTGAACAAGTTCTGGGAAATGGAGTTCATCACCAATAAAATGTCTTTCAATCCTGACGAAAGAAATTGCATGGAGCGCTTCGCCGAGACTACTACAAGGAATGCAGGCGGACGTTTCATCGTGCAAATGCCTGTCAAGGAGGCCAAGTTACGACAACTTGGTGAATCTCGCAATACAGCATTGAACAGATTCCTCAGTTTGGAACGCAAATTACACAAGCAACCAAGGCTGAAGGAGCAATACGTACTCTTCATGAACGAATACTTAGCTCTGGGTCATATGGAACGCATCACCATCGAACAAGAAATGGCACTCACTCCGCGCTACTATATCCCTCATCACGCTGTATTAAAGGGCAGCAGCCTAACCACTAAGTTGCGTGTGGTGTTCGATGCGTCGTGTAAAAGCAGCACCGGCATTTCGCTCAATGAGTGCCTCTCAGTAGGACCCATTCTGCAAGAAGATCTGTTCTCGATCTTACTACGCTTTCGTACCTTCCAGTATGTCATTACGGCTGACATTACCCAAATGTATCATCAAATATTAATAGACGAATCGCAAACACCGCTTCAAACAATTCTCTGGCGTACTGATTCAAGCGAAAAGATAGCAGCATTTGAATTGAAAACTGTGACATACGGCACAGCATGTGCATCCTTTCTGGCCGTGAGAGCTATGCAGGAGTTAGCCAACACATACGCCTCAACCTACTCAGTGGGTTCGAGCGCTATCATCAATGACTTCTATGTCGATGACTTATTGTCAGGAGCCAATACTGAGCAAGAAATTAGAGTCCTACGGAATGAAACCATCAAGATACTAAACTCGGGAGGTTTCCATCTCAGAAAATGGGCGTCCAATTGCCCTAAGCTATTAGAGGACGTACCTCATGCCGACATCTGCGAGCCCATTCACTTCATTAACACAAACGAAGAGGTGTCTACGTTGGGCATGCTTTGGAACACAAAAACCGACGATCTTCAATATCATATCAATCCCTCTGATCACACCAGGATAACCAAACGGAGCATGTTGTCTGTGCTATCAAGAATATTTGATCCTCTAGGACTTTTAGGTCCTATAACGCTTGCAGCCAAGATTCTTATATAGAGGGTATGGCAGCTTGATTTGGCATGGGATGAAACCGTACCCATGAGCTTACACACTGCATGGACAAGGTTCGCATCCCAGCTGAGCGCCGTTGGCGAACTCAAGGTACCACGTTACGTAGCATGCAAGAATGCAGTCAGCATTCAAATCCATGGTTTCTCTGATACAAGTGAGAAGGCATACGGAGCCTGCGTCTACCTCAGGGTCGCGGGCCCGCAAGGTCAAATCTCCACGCGGTTGCTGTGCTCAAGGTCCCGCATTGCCCCCCTGAAGGCGATTACCTTGCCACGGCTAGAGCTATGCGGGGCAGTATTGCTGGCACAATTAATGGACAAAATTTTGAGAGCAGTGCGCTTCGAACCAGAAGCGATATACTGTTGGACCGATTCCACAATAGTGATACACTGGATAAGGGCTACAGACAAGAACTGGAACGTCTTCGTCACCAACAGGGTCAGCGAAATTCATCGGCTATCTCAGGCAAGCAGTTGGTTCCATGTCGCCACAGAATGCAATCCAGCTGACTACGTATCCAGAGGCTCTTTGCCCTCAATCTTAATCGATGCGGCTCTCTGGTGGTCTGGTCCACCATGGCTCGAAAGGGAAGTTCAGAATTGGTGCACAAGTATTCCGGCTGTTCCACCCAACGAATTGCCAGAGCAAAGGCGCGTACTCAAGACTATGTCACAGAGGACCGGCCCAACGTGTTTGAGAGATTTTCATCACTGAGTAAACTAATCAGAATCACAGCTCTTTGCCTGAGATTCGTGAATAATGCAAGGAATCGAGGAGTTAGAGCCGTAGGTCGCATAACCACACAAGAGCTATTGAATTCCAATTTACGCCTCGTGAAAATAGTTCAACAGACAGCATTCAAGCAAGACCTTCACGTATTGAAAACACAAGGAACCGTATCACGACAAAGCAGATTATTGTGTTTGTCTCCGTTTATCGACAACCTTGGCATTATCAGAGTGGGCGGACGCTTGCAGAGGGCAACTATCTCATGCGATGCGAAACACCCAATTCTACTACCAGCCAACCATCCGTTCACATGCTTAGTCATACGACACGAGCATCAGAGGCAGTTACACGCAGGGGCACAAGCCACATTGGCCGCCATTCGCATCAGGTATTGGCCCCTATCAGCGAGAAATAGCGTCAAGAGGTGCATCAGGGAGTGCATCATCTGTCGCAAGGCAGATCCGCGTGCCTGCGAAGCAATCATGAGTGAGTTACCCGCATACCGAGTTACGCCATCGAAACCATTTGAACGAAGCGGGGTAGACTACTGTGGCCCGTTCCACATAAGGTCCGGACAACTTCGCAACGCCAAGATAGTAAAGGCGTATGTCGCAGCCTTCGTCTGCCTTTCCACGAAGGCTGTTCACATTGAACTAGTGAGCGATTTATCCACCGAAGCATTTCTTAACGCTCTTAAGCGTTTTATGGCTCGTCGAGGCAAGGTACGACATATCTATTCAGATAACGGAACGAATTTTCAAGGAGCATCGAACACGTTGAAGGAGCTTTATTATATGCTCCTCAGTAAGGACCATCAGGATAAACTGAACTACCTGCTGAAGGAAGATCTCATCGAGTGGCATTTCATATCGCTCCACGCCCCCCACTTTGGCGGCATTTGGGAAGCTGCGGTTAAATCCACGAAACTTCACTTAAAACGCGTCGTCGGTGACTCCGTATTAACATTTGAAGAAATGTACACTGTGCTTACCCAAGTCGAGGCAGTTTTAAATTCACGCCCGATTACACCTTTGTCCAGCGATCCCAATGACCTATCCTATTTGACACCCGGACACTTCCTGGTCGGAGACTCTCTTACCGCTGTCCCACAACAAGATGTCATGTACTCGCCTACTAGTAGACTCTCACGGTGGCAACGAGTCAGCCAAATATTCCAGCATTTCTGGAGGCGATGGAGTCGCGAGTACCTGCAGCAATTACAGCAGCGTACTAAGTGGCAGCAATCCAAGGGGCTGCACCCGGTTATTGGCGACATGGTCATGCTTCAGGAGAATGATTCGTTACCTCTCCATTGGACAATTGGACGAATAGAAAACGTTTTTCCTGGGACGGATGGAATACCTAGAGTGGTCTCAGTTCGCACAGCCAAGGGAACATACAAGAGACCGATCACCAAAATATGCGTATTACCGTTACGCAAGGAAGATTAATTATTCAGTCCTTTATATACGCGCAGCGTTATGCAATGTATCCTTTTATTATTACATGATAACGATGGACATGAGCAGTTTGTGTTTTTTGCAATACTAAATTTTACGTTTTGAGTTTCAGATTTGATTTTTTTTATGTAGATGGTTAAGCGCCGCCCAGTACGACGGCCCGTCATGTTATAATTTAAAGGGTTTAACCCTTTCAAGGGAGGCGATATGTTCGAGATTGAGGTCGTTCCTTTCGGCGGTTTCTATCAACCGCCATTCTTGGCGCCAGCCCGATCACTAGGATGGTGGCGCTGTGGGCCCTAGTGCCAGGGATGCCACCAGTGACGGTTTACGACATCGAGACTAACGCCATCAGGTGGCGGGCTGGCACAACCGATAGCAACACATGCGCGAGCCCGTGTCCGTGTGACTTCGTAGTTAGAAGCGTGCCGACTATATCGTCGATCTATTCGCACTCGTTCTCATTGTTTGACCTTGTCGGCGCGCTGAGAGCGAGAGAGAACCTGCCTTCGCTTTTTGTAGCTTCACTCAAGCGACCGAAATATGTTCTCTCGGCCGCTCGGCGTGCATCAAGAGGCATGGAGACATTCTAGATAAAATACAGTATCCCGAACTTTTCTGCCAATCACTTTTGTGTAGATAGAACGGACTAAACTGAGTCGAAAAGTCTATCATTTTGCAATTTTCGCAATAGTTAACAAGATATTAATTACTAAAGATTGCAAAATATTGGTCTTGAATAATTTTTTACTCAAATAATATC